AGGTCCAGACACTGCCACATGTCTGCCATCTCCACCAGTATGTCACTGCTCGCTTTCTCCGATGGTAAATTTATCTGAAAAGAAAAAAATATATCTTAAATATTCCCACTTGTTACGCTGTGCCATACTGTCTGGGGGACACGGCTTCCATTTGCCCACTAGACCACAAACCAGAAGAGAGACAGCAGGAGGTAAAGTCCCTGGGCACCTGGGATTCTGGGAGGACAGGACTGCACTTGCAATGCTTTTTACTACATCTATATATTTAACTATATTCATGAATGGTGGCGGTACTTAAGAGAAGTGATTTGGGGAAATTTTATATCTTTGCAGAGAAATTATTAACTTTCATTGTTTAACTTTACTGACAAAACAGACATTTTTAACCCCTTAGTGACCAGACCATTTTTTATTTTCTTACCATTAAGGACCAGGGCTGTTTTTACATTTCTGCGGTATTTATATTTAGCTGTCATTCACCTCTTTCCTAGTAAATGCACCCACACTTATTATATATCATTTTGTTTAGGAGAAACAGGGCTTTCATTTCATATAAAATAATTCTATATGAAATATAATTTAATATGAAAAAAAAAAAAATCAGAGAAATTAAGAAATGTTAATTATTTTGTTCTGCATAGCATTTTAACTGTAAATATCATAATACTGTTAGCTGTTACTGCAATAAAGTACACATATTTGTATTCAGCGATGTCTCACAAGTAAAACAGTACCCCCCATGTACAGGTTTTATGGAAAGTTAAAGGGTCAATTATAGCATGTTACATTTTTCAGTTTATACACATTGAAATTTGCCAGACTGGTTATGTTGCCTTTGAGACCATATGGAAGCCCAGGAATGAGAATTACCCCATGATCGCATACCACTTGCAAAAGTAGACAACCCAAGGTATTGCAAGTGGGGTATGTCCAGCCTTTTTTAGGAGCCACTTAGTCACAGTCGATGGCCAAAGTTAGTGTTCATATTTGTTTGTGTGTGAAAAATGCAAAAAACTAATTTTAACACTAATTTTGGCCAGTATTTGTGAATGTAAATTCACTTTTGTAGATGGTATGCAATCATGGGGGTAATTCTCATTCCTGGGCTACCATACGGTCTCAAAGGCAACAAAACCAATCTGGCAAATTTCAATGTGAAAAAACTGAAATGCAAGCCTTCTATTTGACGCTGTACCTTTTGAAAACACTATAAAACCTGTATATGGGGGTGCTGTTATACTCAGGAGACTTTGCTTAACAGAAATACTAGTGTTTCAAAACAGTAAAACTTATTACACACAATGATATTGTCAGTGAAAGTGTTGTTTGTGTGTGAAAAATGCAAAAATGGTACCTTCACTGACAATATCATCGTCGTAAAAATGTTACTGTTTTGAAACACTAATATTTGTGTCCAGCAAAGTCTCCCGAGTAAAATAGTACCCCCCCATGTACAGGTTTTAGGGTGTCATGGAAAGTTACAGGGTTAAATATAGGGCTTGTAAACCAAATACTGTAGACTTTCTGCCTGGGTTGTCAGGCAGGCCCCTCAAATTGTAATTAATAAAATGACTTAATTATGTAAAAATATTATACAAATATATTTGTAGAATTTAAATATATATATATATATATATATATATATATGTGTGTGTGTGTGTGTGTGTGTGTGTGTGTGTGTGTGTGTATATATATATATATATATATATATATATATATATATATATATTTAAATTCTACAAATATATTTATATATTTGCACCCGGTTACATAACTGAAGCCTGAGTGCATGGTATATTTGGTTATATATATATATATATATATATATATATATACACACACACAGTATCTCACTCAAAGTGAGTACACCCCTCACAATTTTGTAAATATTTTCTTATATCTTTTCATGTGACAACACTGAAGAAATGACACTCTGCTACAATGTGAAGTAGTAAGTGTACAGCCTGTATAACAGTGTAAATTTGCTGTCCCCTCAAAACAGCAATTAATGTCTAAACCATTGGCAACAAAAGTGAGTACACCGCTAAGTGGAGATACTGTATATTTACTTTCTGGCCCCCCAAAATTCGCCACCATAAAAAACGGTCACACACTCTAATATTTTGTTGGACGCATTCGCTGTGGCATTGTTTCGATAAGCTTCTGCAATGTCAGAAGATTTATTTTTGGCCAGTGTTGCATTAATTTTTCATCAAGATCTTGAATTGATGATGGGAGAGTTGCAAAGTCTTCTCTATCACATCCCAAAGATTCTCAATGGGGTTAAGGTCTGGACTGAAAATGATGTCTCATGCTCCCTGAACCACTCTTTCATAATTTGAGCCAGATGAATCCTGGCATTGTTGTCTTGGAATATGTCTGTGCCATCAGGGAAGAAAAATCCATTGATGGAATAACCTGGTCATTCAGTATATTCAGATAGTCAGCTGATCTCATTACAATAACTTGTTTTTTGACTTTTTTTTGCCAGGCAGTGTGTATATATATATATATATATATATATTTGTATTTATAACACCATTCTAAATGTATTGTGATTTAGCTATATATGTATATTAATATAAAAATATAGTTAGAACAAATTTAAACCGGTATATCATTATTTTGATATAATGCCAAGCAAGTCCCCACACAGTGATCGCTGGCAGGGATCGCCAGGGATCAGGTAAGTGCATATTTGCTGCGGACATACAAGGTACCTCCGCAGTCCTTAATGACCGTTTTTGTGTCGGACGTACCTAGTACGTCCGCGGTTATTAAGGGGTTAAAGAACTTTTCCGCCTTTCCAAAATATCATAGCACCTGGCAGAGAGGAAGTTGTAATCTTTTATTTTGGGGTGAATGTGTGATCCCCAGGAATGCCGTACCTGCATCATGTCATCAAGACAGCTGAAGATATATTTCCTGTTTTCGACAGAATACATTCCAGTCTCACGACTGTATTCTCTGGCAGTCTAGAAAAGAGGAAAAACAAACCATTAATTTCAGGAATGAGACAAACGTCCGATGTAACGTTCTTTAGAATCCCAATGGGTTTCCAGGTTCTGGAAGGATGGGACCAACACCTTTAGTTTTTCTTTTTTTTTTTATTCTTTCTTTTTTGTTGTGCATAAAGTAGGATACATTTAAACTTGTAGTGCCATGACGGCAACGACAAGCGTGGTAACACAGAATGTTAAATCTGTAGATGGCATGCGATATTTCAGCACATTTTAAAGTATAATGTAAACAGGCTAAACAAGCATGTCTAGTTCAGATTGCTAATAAGAAATAAGTGCCTATTGTAGATCGACATGGGAAAATTAGACATACAATTAACCCCTTAATAATCAAGCTTTTTATGCTTTGAAGAACATCATGTTATCAGAATAGGTATGCATATATGATTATTATAGAGTATTGTAAAGAGAGAGTATGTCAGTTGCTTAGATGGCAGGATTGACAGGAGCCATCCCCACTGTGTGCAGCCCAGGCCCCGAGAGAGTCCCTGTATAGTCCAGGCTTATCCAACCCCCGATCTGTAGAGCCTTTGGCATGATAGGAGTGAGTCCAGCGTGGTGTTTGGTAAGAGGGGTGAGTGCGCTCCCCGTATTTGATCTCTTGCATCTGCCCGATCTTCCTCGGAAAGGCTGCAGGGGCGCAAGGGTGTCTCAAAGGTCTACAGGGTTCGCGGCTTTGCGTGGTGAGGGACCGGTTAGCGGGATCCGACTGCTCTTTGCCACAGGGGCCTGTGGTCTCCCGTGCTTGTAGGTTAGGTAGTGGCTTCGTTGCGATGAGGAGACCCTCTGCCTTTCCACAGTTAATGCCGCATCGGGAGTTCTGATCTGCTGTGTCTTAGTGGTCTCTGGCTGTGCCGCCATTTCATGTTTGCCCGCCATGTCTGCCATTTTGGTAGCTGGGGCTCCCCCAGACCCGTGCGCTGCGGGTCGTGGGGATGGTCTCCTGGGACCGGGATGACCCCCGCCGGTCCAAGGATGGGGGGGGAAACGAGGCCTTTACCGTGTGGTGTCGGAGTTCCGGAGGGAAACCGCAGGGCAGGATAGCGAGGCGGCGGCCGTCCACCTCACTCACCACCTGGGTAGGCCTCGTGTGCAGCCTTGCCGATGTGCCCTCTCGTAACGCTTTGTTTTTCAGAGTGGCCTCAGCACTGGTGCCTCTTTGCCCGCGGGGCCATTGCTTCTAAACTGCAGATGGGTAAATTTTCCGCTTTTGTAGGCATTAATGTTGTTTATCTGCAGAAGCCCGTCTTGTATGCGACCTCTCAGCATGGCGGTCCGGCCCTGCCCCCCCGCATTTAGATTTTTCAATTAGCATTATGCTGTGAAAACTTGCTCTTAAAACTGTCTGAGAAAGGAGTATAGTAGTTCAGTCTTTAAAGGGACACTATAGTCACCTGAACATCTTTAGCTTATTGAAGCAGTTTTGGTGTATAGAACATGCCCCTGCAGCCTCACTGCTCAATCCTCTGCCATTTAGGAGTTAAATCCCTTTGTTTATGAACCCTAGTCACACCTCCCTGCATGTGACTTGCACAGCCTTCCATAAACACTTCCTGTAAAGAGCCCTATTTAGGCTTTCTTTATTGCAAGTTCTGTTTAATTAAGATTTCTTATCCCCTGCTATGTTAATAGCTGGCTAGACCCTGCAAGAGCCTCCTGTATGTGATTAAAGTTCAATTTAGAGATTGAGATACAATTATTTAAGGTAAATTACATCTGTTTGAAAGTGAAACCAGTTTTTTTTTCGCCACTGCCAGACTCGGGGGCCCCCCCAGGAGAAGAGGCTGTCAAACTGGCGTACATACCCGGTCGCAGGGCAGCCGGGCCCTTTGGTGGGCCGGGCCCGGTCGCATCTGCAACCCCTGCGACCACGGTATGTACGCCAGTGCAGCCAGCGCTGTCATGATATCACAGGATTTGTTTACTCCTTTAGTCCTGATACGATTGAATATAATTTTTCAATTTAAATAATGTTGATATTTAAGGTCCCACCTTCAATCTCCATGATGAGTGTGAGGAATCCGTGTCTCTATTAAAGTAATACTCGGTCTTTTTTCCTCTGCTCAGCATGTGTTCAGCTGGCAATCCCTGAGTGTGGATGATGAATCGGATCTGCGGGGAGAAAGCGAGAGATTATAGCTATTAATACAAGTACCGGCACCTTCCAATAAAACCGCAACACAGGCCGAATTGTGGGGATATTTATGGGATGATAATATTAAGCAGTCGAGAATTGCCCACTATTTCAATGCTCTTAGATCTTAGAGATCGTTTATCATGTAAGTGAAAAGTATTCCATACAATTAATCACAATCTGTTATAAAAAGAGATTTATTTTTATTGTAACAAATAACATAACAATAATATTAGGCAGCATGCATGATAATAATCAGTGAGTATTTAGTATAACACAAGTATGCAATACAATGAAATGGCTAACAGCACCAGCTGTCACTTAAGATTTATCAGGTATTCTTACACAGCGAAAGTAAAGCTTTTCACAGCGAAGAGCCATAAAACCCTGGCTAACAGTTAAGTCAACTGAATAACCCTTTCAGTGCTGGCTAGATCCTCCTAGGTATATAGTATCCTATTCTCTTGTGATTTTCAATTAAAATAACATTTGAACCAACTCAATAATCATTTCCTGGAACCATCCAATAAGAATAATCTACCAGATTCTATAAGCCGAATTTTTAATTTGTCTAAAAATATATCTTATCTTATATTAGAGCAAATCAATACACCTGGATAAAAACAGTGGTATGCTAACATGTGATACTATCACATTAATATATAATTATTCTTAATTCCACCTGCAGAATGGAATGTTTATAACTATATATTCTTTAGTTAGCTAAGATTTCTAAATATTGAAATCTGACCGTGATTTATCCAGTCATATATCATGCTATTAGTACATTTTAATTAATTTAAATTAATTAAATAAAACCAGCATAATTACCAGTTATGTAGATATTCTCATCAGATGAATAGATAGTCCCAGAAACTTGATTGGTTGTATGGAAGTGCGTGAGTGATAGAGAAAGTGGTGTTGGTTAGAAAGTCAGATTAAAATTCTAAGTGTTAAGAGTTTAAGAGTTGAGTGTCTCAGAGTTTAGAGTGTTAGTCCCAGATATTGTCCTGGATTTCTTTGCATGTCCGAGTTGGAGTCCCCAAACTTCAACTCCCTCTCTCTCTGTATCTCCATGTATTCCCCTTTGTCCTTACTTTTAAAGGGCCAGACTCTCTGTACGTCATTAGTTGATAAACCAATAGGAAGCCGTAGGTGTGTCCAATCTATGGATCGCAATTTAGGTATTTGATCCATAGAGGGCAGTCTCGTCTAACGAAACCTTCCTATCCAGGAAAGAGTTAACTTTTCCTGATGACGATTTTGACGTCATTTGGCTTATCTAAAATGACTACCATATCTTAGATTTGCTGTCAGTTCAAAGCGTTTGTCTCAGTCTTTGTGGCAACTACTTTGATCGTAACTTGTAAAATTGACAGTTCTAAACTCAGTTTCAACCCTTACTTACAATGGAACCTTGTAAAATTTAGAAAGTAAAATTAATTACTTAGTCTTCTCTGTCACCAGTGTCTGTGTTTAGATAATGCATTCCTCAGCTCAAACAAGTGGCTAGTTACAGAAAGTAAGGAGAAATCAAGGAAATTATGTGTTTTTGCTCTCCTGAAGTTCGCAAAATGGAGTCCGCTTTGTTCTGAGTGACTTTGGCAATATACACTTTTAATTTCTTTTTAGCACAAAATGTCTGTTGATATAAATATTCTGACAGAATCAACATAAATTTGTGTTAAGTCTGTCTTTGATGCTCTACTGCTCTTTCATATCTCATGATCATCATATGCTAGCATGAACATTTTTACTTTTTTTTTTAAAGTGAAGAAAAGTAAGAGGCAATGGGAAGGGATGAGAGGGAGGGGGGTGTCCATCTCCAGCCCGGGTGGCAAAAGCCTCTATTTCTGCTTTCATCCTTCTCTCAGCTGTCAGGATAGTCCTCCCATGGTTCCCAGACATTAATAAAGAGTGTGTATGTGTCCCGTACTTGTGCTGTTAGTTTGTCCATGAGATGTGCCTATTTCATGTTGTGAATGACCCTGACCAACTGTGGCATGTCCACATGTAGCCAAGTCTGTGCCATAGCTCTCCTAGCTGCCAGATTGATTTTAATTACTAGTTTTTGTTCGTTGTCAGCCCGTCCACTGGCCTTGCTATAAGGAAGGTCCATGGGTCTGTCACAATAGGATGGTGCAGAATCTCTGTCAGGAGTTGCGCTACCCAATTCCAGAACCCCACTGCTTTTGGACATGTCCACTACATGTGAAAGTATGTTAATTTAATACCATTTTTGATAGTGAATGCTCCTCACTGATGTGAGCCAAACTGACCATTTTATCTTACATTACACTTTGTCTCCTGTCAGTACAAGCAAATCAAACAGCTATGCAATACCTTTCTATATGAATTAATTCTGGATTGCTGACTATGATCTTATTATCAGACATAGGTATCTATCGGATTGGAACTCACCAGATCATATTCGCTTGCTCCGGGATATAACATCCATCCTGTAATCAGCTCTGCCGTGATGCAGCCCAAAGACCACATGTCTATAGCCTCCCAGAATGGTAATCCCAGGATAATTTCGGGAGCTCTGTAAGTTATTAACAGGGCAGAAAGAGAAGGAAGGGTTAATCAAATAATTTAGGTTTTATAGTTGTTCATCATCTAAAAGATTGGCATAAATATATCAATGTTTTTCTTAGGAAAGCAAAGAAGGCTGTGGCTTTAATCTCACTAATATGGACATCTCACTATGCACTACCTGGCTGCCTAGGAGTTATCAGTGAAAGTGTATTACCACCAGTCCCAAAACACTAAGCACAAGCACATATGAGCTATGATAGCACCCAACAAAATCCACCTTCTGCCCTACCTTTTCCCCCAGCGTCTATAATCATTTGCAGGTATTTTAAAGGAGATCTGTTTTTATAGAATAAGAATCATGACAAAAATCTGCCACGCCCGGCTGGCACGCTCCTTCAGTGGGCAGGTCTGCCCATTATAGGTGTCACCTGTGGCACAAGTTGTATCACTGTTGACACCTTATAGTACTCACCCCTATCAAGATCTCATAACTTCCAATGTTGGAAAGTGTGATGTTGCTTTGGAGTTTAGCTGAAATTGCAGGATATTCCATGGATTTACATGGATTTTACAAGCTAATGACATCACTCTGTGCACATGTGAGAATATCTGTGAAGATCCTATGGAGCCAGGTTGTGTAATATTTTCTACAAAGAATTCATCAGTGACATGTCTTCTATTAGCTTGATATGCAAAGCTTTGAAGAAGAAGAAAGGACTGTGGTGAATATTTCACCCACTTCCCGAATTCACAGGAGACCTCTGGCATCATCCGTGTGACTTGGGAATATTATAAATAAAACATGTGGAGCTAGCTGGATTATGGAGCTAGTTGACTGATCGCTGCTCCAAAAGTCATACTTTTTAAGGAACTAAATAATCACCAAGCGTTATTCTTTATAGTCATTGCATCCGTGTAAAGGATATACATGTACTGTCTAGTTCATATTAAGTGTTAATTATACATAATAAATTACCTATAAGGTCTTGTTTGCAGATAACTGGAACATTCTGCCTCGGACACGTGGAATGCAGATCCAAAGTCGATCACCTTGACCTTGAATGGGTGCCTGGACGTGTCCACCATCATGATGTTCTCAGGCTTTAAGTCTGTGTGGATAACTCCCAGACTCTTCAGTTTCGCTAATGCTGTGCCCACCTGCTGTACGATAGGGCGAATATTCTTAACAGCAAATGGGCGAAATTCGCGTTCCTCCATAAAGTCCAGCAAACTCATTTCCAGCATCTCAAACACAAGGCAGATGCGATCCTCGTGCATGAAAAACTCTAATGCTTTCACAATATTGAATTCTTCTGTATTTTCTTTATTGAGCTGGGACAGCATGTCTATCTCAGCTAGACCTTGTGCGTGGGAATGGCGGCGTTTTTTGAGCATTTTGATGGCTACTTTCTCGCCAGTTTCTTTTTTCTCACATTTGACCACCTCCCCGAAGGTACCACTGCCCAGGAACTTCAAAACTTCATAAGTATTAGTCTTGGAGTGCAGGGTTATTTGGCGCTCTGACTGCTGATTGCATTTACTGAGAGGAAAAAGAGGAACAGGTTAATTTTAATCCAATGCTAAGTTTCAGTAGTGATGCACTGAACGGTTCGCTGGCGAATAGTTCCTGGCGAACATAGCATGTTCGCGTTCGCCACGGCAGGCGAACATATGCGCGGTTCGATCTGCCCCCTATTCGTCATCATTGAGTAAACTTTGACCCTGTACCTCACAGTCAGCAGACACATTCCAGCCAATTAGCAGCACACCCTCCCTAGCAGACCCTCCTACCTACTGGAAGGCATCCATTTTACATTCATTCTCAAGCTGCATGCTTAGTGAGAGGAGGGAAAGTGTAGCTGCTGTTGATTAGATAGGGAAATGCATAGCTAGGTTGGGGTATACAGTGTCCACTACAGTCCTGAAGGACTCATCTGATCTCTGCTGTAAGGACAGCACCCCAAAAAGCCCTTTTTAGGGCTAGAACATCAGTCTTTTTTTTTTCTGTGTAATGTAATTGCAGTT